TATATATCTATGCATATACGATAACCGTACGTTTAATATGCCAAATGTATAGTAATTGGGAAGCGATCTCGTGGCACGAGCCAGTATTCGCGTGGGTCGACATATACAGCTCGTCGGGACTCGCCGAACGTTGGAAGCAACTTGGCCCGTACAGACGGACTGAGAAAATACCGTGGATTTCTCGTAACGCGGTTCCACGTGTAGATCGCATCGAAACGCTGCAAAGCAAGACGAGACTGGTGGAATTACAGCCGTTCGTAAAACGGACGATCGATTCGAGAAACGTTGCGCTTCCGAAGTGAAAAAAAAAGAAAAAAGAATAATGAAAAAAAAAAAGAAAAGGGAAGAAGAGAAGAATAAAACGGTGAATAATCTTACGAAAGCGAAAGAGATGTACAAAATTCGCTTTGCGACTGTTCGTCGATCGAGACAACGTCGACGCTCTAAATCTCTACGGAACGAAAGAGAAACAAAAGTTGTTCGACTAGTGCGTACGCGTTAGCACGCAAAAGGGAAAACAAAACCGATTGCTGTACTTTATTAAGTGTAATGATTGCCTTCCTGCCATATTTGGGGTATGCCAAGTATAAAAATTATAAGGTTTAGAGATTAGGGAACGAAAAATTAATGACGACACTACCGTGAAATTCATTGAATTTGGAACAAGAGAAAATGTGGATAGACGCGCGAGCGCCGTGTGTGTGCCTGTGTTAACGTTGAAAGCGGACGAACGCGAGCATCTGACTGGGCGAATCGAACGTGTGAGCGTGATACGTGCGAGTGAATGTTTTTTTCGGAAAGATCGTGCTATTTTTCAAAATTTTACATGTTACGCGTACGACTTTTCGCGAGAACACCCTCGATCCTCGACAATCGAAGAACGACACGAGTCGAGTAGTCGTCGAAACGAACCGATTCCTCTACGGAATCGTTCGAATTCTAGCCGGTCGATCGCACGCTGTCAAGCCAATTCAGCTCGGAATTTCTTTCACAAATGATTCGCGTCTACTCCTCGATCGTTCTAGCCACGAACCGCCGTTCAGAGATTTCGTGCGACGTCTAAGTACGAGCGAGTTCGTATCGAACCTAGTCATCCTAGGAACAGAAAGAGGGGGAAGACAGAGAGAAAGTGAGAAATGAACAGGATGGGGAAGAATGAGAGAGCGAATGGAACGGAAGAGACAGAGAGAAAGAAAGGAGCGCGTGTGACAGAGAGAACGAAACTTTCTAAACAAGAAAAAAAGCAAATTTTTTAAAGTTGGCACACTGGTTCTGGAGTGACTCTTTGTAAGTATTAAAAAGTAAACAAAACAAAAAAAAAAAAAAATTCGAAGTGGCCTTCTGTAAAAGGAAAAGACCATCGCTTTTCGCTTTTGCTCGAAAAAAAAGAGAATGGGGCGTATAGGCTGTCCATCGTGTTATACGTTGTTTAGGCAACTTTTTGGAAAACGTTGTTCTCGCGCCACTCCCCTACGAAAGCTTTAAACGGTTCGTACGAAAGTTTCGGGAGGAATCGATTAGCAAGTTAATTATCGGCGATTAGAAAATTAATTCGGGAAAACTCTAAAACGCGTTATTCTTGATACGAAAGATTTTTGGGTGAAAATATTCGAGCGCTCGGTCGACGAGAAAAAGTGCGATCGGACGCGTTTTATTTTTCGTGAAAATCGGAACGACGCGCGAGAGAGCGATCGATTCAGGGGGAAAAAAATGAAACGGAAAAAGAAAAGGAAAAGAGGATCGCGAATTTAAAAGATTTTATTACGATTTAGGCTTAATGTGTTCAACGAGAAGGTAAATTTGAACGAAACCAGCGGCAGGGCGGAGCAAAAGAAATTCGTGAGTCAAAGCGAGGAGATGGGATTGGAAGAAGAAAGGAAGAAATATAATTCAAAGAGCCGCGAACGAAATTGCGAGAAAGAATTAGCCGAAAGACAGAGGGGTTAGGGAGAGAGTGTGCGAGAGAAAAGGATGGGGCATGTGAACAGGCGAGAATGTGGAAAAGATTAAAATTAATATTGTATAAAAAAAAAAAGTAGCAAGTGCCTTCCAAACAAAAAAAATTTAACGTGTCCCGTAGACCGTGACCACTTGTACGTGATGAAAAGTCATTCGAAATTTCGCATCACCAAATGAATCATTTGCGACAGAAGTGGAAAAGAAATGCAAAAGAGAAAAAAAAGACGGAACAAAGAAAACCGGAAAACAAAGTACAGATGATAAAGATACAAGGAATTATTTGTGGGGACGTTGCGTAAAATAAACATTTCTTCTTAGTACGTACATATTCTCTTCGTCTCGTCTCGAAGTCTTGGCGACGCTGCGCGATTTCTGCGAAGATTAAACAGCACGGTTATAGTCGAGGATAGAATCAAAGGAGGAACTCGAATATTTTGCGAAAATTTTTCTTTTTACTTTCAAACTGTACGATCGATCCGATCTCGACCGATTCGTATCGATGCCGACCGATGTAATTGATTCGGATCGAATCGGATCAGTTCGGATCGGGTCGGGTCGGATCGGATCGGATCGGATCGGATCGGAAATTTTTCCTGTCGATTACGCAATGTGTCTACGAATCTTTTGTGTGCGTGTAGAGCGAATGTACAGAATCTACAAGCAAACCCGACAAAATTTCTGTTTTGGATCAACCCACCACCGGTAATACCCTGAATGGCATATTCTCGTAAACGTTTCTTTTCGATTCGCTTGTACGAAAGAACGGAAATGGATGGTTAAACGGAG